CTCACATAAAAGTAGCATTTAGTCCTAAGCCTAGGTTTTCCCCTTCCTAGAAATTATAAAAGATCAGAATGTATATAGGAAGACAAGATGGAAAAGCTTCCAGCAGTAGGACTAAAGAGAAATTGGTGCCTTGGATAAACAAGTATATCACATGATCTATAGTCAGACAAGTCAAAACAACTCTGTCAATAAGATAACAGATATGGAAAGATATGACCACATCCTGATACGGCCTGAAGCTTCCTCACTCTTTTAAGAGTCAAAAGCTAGGGTGGTTTCTCCAAAACAGGATTTGAAACTTGATTCTCTGAAGTTGAAAATGGTTGGTTTTGTGCTAACCTGAGGTTGAGTGTGAGCCACGGAGCCCACAGTGGTCCTTGGTATGCCCATCTGTGCCCCACAACCTGGCCTCCTTAAAGCAAGTGCACCCTTTGTTCACCACACTCTTTGCATCATTCTGCCAATAGCTTCTGGTACTCCTCTCTCACTCACCTTCCTGCCTAGTGTTATTTGTTTGTTTGTTTGTTTGAGTACTAGAGATTGGACCCAGGGGGACTCTCCCACTAACCTACATCATCAGCTCTTTTTTTTTTTTTTTTTTTGGAGATAGAGTCTTGCTAAGTAGTTAAGCAAACTTGTGATCTTCCTGTCTCAGCCTCCTAAATTGCTAGGATCACAGGCCTGTGCCACCAGGCCCAGACAAATACTTTGAATGACTGCATAGTGTACCATGGTATAAATTTACTACAAGTAGTTAAAAGCTCATTTGAAAATAAAGTTCATTTTTAAAATTTGTTCTATTGTAGGCACTATAGATGAGGCAATTTGTGTTAAAATCCTTATTTTGGCAGGGGCAGGGGTATTTTGGTTTTTGTTTGGTTGTGATGAGGTTTCACTATGTTTCCCAGGCTGGTCTTGAACTCATGGGCTCAAGTGATCTTCCTGCCTCAACTTCCAAACTTCCAGAATAACCAGGACTATAGGTGTGCTCCACATGCCAACTTTTAAAAATCCTTACTTTTTTTTTTTTTGGTAGTGGGGATTGAACCCAGGTATGCTTTACCACAGAGCCATTTTTATATTTTTATTTTAAGACAGGGTCTCACTATGTTGCCTCACTAATTTGCTGAGGCTGGCTTTGAACTTGCAATCCTCCTGCCTCAACCTCCTGAGTTGCTGGGATTATAGGTGTGAGCCACCATGCCCAGCTAGATCCTTACTTTTTAAACTTAAAAATTCATATAAAAATAAGAGTGATACACAAAACAGTCCACAGAGAATATTAACCAGCAATTTATAAAAGAAATATTAAAAGCCAATATAAAATGAGAAGTTGCTCAACCTCATTAATAGTCAATCAAATAAGCACTGAAACAACAGGACACTTTTGAGACACAGAATGGCACATATGGAAAGGTTTGATGATTTCTTATTTGTTCTTTTTAGATATCCATGACAACAGAGTGTATTTTGACATATCATACATACACGGAGTATCACTTCCCATCCTTGTGGTTGTACATGACGTGGAGTTTCACTGGTCGTGTGAACACAGAAAAGTTACATCCAATTCCTTCTATTGTCCTTCGTATTCCCATCCCCACTTCCCTTCATTCCCTTTTGCCTGACCCTCTAAACTATTTTTCCTGAAAAGGATTCATAATAACAGGGCTGGCATCACTGCGAATGGGCTGGGAGGATAAATCATCGCACCCTTCTAAGAGGGCAGCTTAGTAATATGTAACAAGGGTTAAATTTAGATTATGTTGAATTTCTTTGAAGCCTGTGGTAATAGAGTTGTTATGTTAAATAATTCTTATCTTTTAGCAATAAATATTAAAATGATGAATGAAATTGAATGAACTTGTATTTGCTCCCTGTACCCATCAACAGGTAATTTGGCAAGTAGACTGTATTTTGACATATTATACATACACGGAGTATAACTTCCCATTCTTGGTTTTTTGTTTTTGTTTTTGTTTTTGTTTTGTTTTTGAGATAGTGTCTCACTATGCTGTCCAGAGGTTGGTCTCAAACTCCTGAGCTCAAGAGATGCCCCCCAGGCTCAGCCTCCCAAGTACGGGAACCACAGGCATGTGCAGCCATGCCCAGCTAGCAATCTCTTTGTGCTTTGGACCTGTTGCATCCTGATTTGCCTTTGTAGAGCTTTTTCTTCCCCATTCCCCTTGCTTTTGTTTTCTTTTTCATTAATTATCATGGTAATTCAACAGATGTTTATCAAAGGCCTATTCAATATGAAACTCTGCAGCAGATGTCAGAAAATACTCAAAACCAAGTCCCTGTTTCACATGGAGTTCACAGTAGTCTTCTCTCTGTGAACATCAACAACAACAACAAAAAAACAGTATGTGTAGCAGGCTTACTATATGCCAGACGCTCTGTTGTTGTTGTACTGGAAATTGAAGCCACGTGCACCCTACCAGTGAGCTACATCCTAAGACCTCTTTTTTATTTTGAGACAGGGTCTAAGTTGCTCAGGCTGACCTTGGATTTAAAATGCTCCTGCCTCAGTCTCCTAAATAGCTGGGATTGCTGGAATTATAGGTATACACTATGATGCCCAGGTGCCAAACATTTTTCCAAACCCTTCATAGTTGTCAGGGGATGAATTATGGGTCTTGAATTGCCCAGAGATAGAAGGGAAACCTCTCTTGGGAATTTCTCGGTGCAAAAGTGCCACTTGAAAATTGCCAGATTGCTATGGTGATGCATTGTTCAAAGGGGAGTTCTGCGCCAACAGAGAATTTATCAGTTCATGACATAAGGTTTAAACACCGGCTGCTTAGGGGTAGAGAATTATGGGTGCAAGCTGATAACAATAAGTGGGCTGGTCATACCTTTGACCTGGGTTCTGTTTGCTTTAAAATAACTTTCTCACAATAAATCCGTTTGATGTTAAAATCTATATAATAAACTTGCCGAGCTCATGGTCAGTATTCCTCCATCAGAGGTTGACTGAACCACCGGGCCCTGGCTTTTTCTCCCTTTTGTGTCCATTTGTCTTTTCTCAATCTGCTCGTAGCCCAGTCAAGGAACTTGAATAAACAGCCATTCAGGGCACAGCAATGGTTATTAATTAATTTCAATTCTCACATACACAGATGGGTATTATTGTTGCTCATTTGACATGGTTCAGAATTTCTTCAGTGTCACCTGGCTGTGGTGAAGAAACCTGTCTATATTTGCCTCTCTTTCACTCTATTACTCACCTACCAAAGTCATGTCACCTGAGGCATTATACTGTCCCATTCATTTTCTCATTAAATGGGCACATATTTACTAAATATCTTTGATGTGTCAGACACATACATGGGCTTGGCTCTGAGCAAAGCAATCAGAGCAGTCCCCGTCGTTGGATAGATCAGAGCCTTTTGAGAAAAATAGACCCATAAATACATAATTCCAGCACAACCTGAAATGTGCAAAGACAGGGTGATGTACAAGAAAGGGAAACAGCTGGGCTCAGTGGCGCACACCTGTAATCCCAGCAATTCTGGAGGATCACAAGTTCAAGACCAGCCTCAGCAATTTAGTGAGACTCTTGTCTCAAAATAAAATAAATAAAAAGGACTGGGATTGTAGCTCAGGGGTAGAGTGCCCAGGATCAAATCAATCCCCAGGATCAAAATATACATATATTTTATATATATATATATATATATATAATATATATTTTAAAATATATATATATATATATATTTTAAAAAGGAAAGAAAAGAAATGGAAACAGAAAGGAGGAAATGACTTTGAAATTGTTGAGAAAGATTTCACAGAAGAGAAACATTTTTATTAGTGTCCTAAAGGCTAAACAGCAACTCATTAAGGAATTATAGGGAGACCAATCCCAAGAAAGGAGAGGACACATGGAAAGGCCTACAGTCAAGCCAGTGCCCGCACGTATTGGCAGTGATGATGCAGGTGGAAGGGAGATAGCAGGACTTGAGTATGAGAGGTTGAGTTGGACACAAATAGTAAATATTGACCCGATGGAGGTAAACTTGGAAGGAATCCATGTGGTCTGAACTTTAGAGAGCAACTTTGAAGGACATCAAGTTTAAAAGATTCTGAGGAAAGCAAGAACAAGTTTGTAGTTATTGTAGAGATCTAAGCAGGAGTTAATGGAGAATTAACTAAGGCATTGGAGAAAAGAGAGATTTAGGGGGTGAACCCACAGAACTTGGTGACTTCTTAAATTTGGGATGAAAGGAGTGATTGGATAGATAATGGTGACAACCAATAGGGCATAAAAGTTTACACTTGCCTTCTCTCTCTCCCTCTTTCTTTCTTTCTATACTGAGATCAAACCCAGGGCCTCACGCATGCTAGACAAAAGCTCTGCTTCTGAGCTACATCCTCAATCCTTTTTATTTTCATGCAGGATCTCACTAACTTGCCCAGGCTGGCCTTGAACTTGTGATCCTTATGCTTCAGCCTTTTGAGTAGCTGGTATTACAAGGAGACTTTTGAGCCAGCATTGGCTTACATTCAAGGCAGCATCGATTGGATTCTGAAGGCCCAGGAAAATAATAGCTAACTCATGCATAGCTGCATAGCTCTTCCAAAACCAATCAAGCATTGTTTCAATTAGAGAAGTGGATTAACTCAAGATTAATTCAGGGAAGCCTCACCATGACCCTATAAGGTAAGCAAGATTATATCCCCGTTTTACAGATGAGAAGATCAGTTCTGTAAACTGAGGGCTAAATTTGCTTGCCCAAGACCATTCAGTCTTTAAGTAGTGCAGTCGGGTTTTTAATAGTCTGTGTTAATACAGTTGTGCCCTTTTATCTGTGGGGGATATCTGCCAAAACCTCCAGTGGGTGCCTACAACAGTGGATAGTACCAACTCTTTGGATGCTACTTTTTTTCCTACATATATATGCCTAACACAAAAATTTATTTTATAAATTAATCACAGTAAGATGAACAACTAAAAATAAAACAAAATAATTATAATAACATGATTAAAATTTGCCATCACTACTCTTATGCATTGAGACCAGAATCACTATGATACTGGCAGAGTGTATCTGATAACGTAGGTGGCTACTGAGTGACTTAAGGGATAGGAAGAGTATACAAAGTGGAAACTCTAGACAAAGATAATTCATGTGCTGGGTGGGATGAAGCAGGATGGTGCAGCTTTCATCACACTACTAAGAATGGCACATGATTTTAAACATATTAATTGTTTATTTCTGGAATTTTCCATTTAATATTTTTGAACCATTGAAAAAGAATAGTTAACTCGTGTGCAGCTTTGAATAACTGAAACTGTGGAAAGCAATACTCCAGGTAAGGGGGACTACTATACTGTTTTGTTCCTAGGGCTTGGGACTGGGGTGGAATGCTGTTCTAGGGTAGGGCTGAGGATTGTAGCGCATCACATGTCACATGAGAAACTTTCATACAAATCCCCTTGTCACTTAGACCCAGGTCCTTCTGCTTACTCTCTAAAGCCAATCCTTGGGACACAAGAGTTGGTAGCAAGGAAAGCAGGTTTATTTAATGGACTGTCACCTTTAGAAGATGGGGCAAGGGCTATTGTCTTCAAAACAAAGACCATCTTGAGAACTCAAATACGTGAAAGTGCTTTTATATCAGGGGAAATAGGAGGAAGAGGGCAGTGGTGAAGAAGACCACATGATGAGTCATACATCCAGGCTTGATAAACATCTCTATCACTCAAGGAATATATATTTTTTTCTTTTTTGCCAGAATATCCTTGCAATGATTATTGACCTTCATCTCCTAGGCCAGTCCCTGTCATTTTTTAATAAACATTATTTCTCTGTAAATCAAACATTATCTATACTTCTGTTTTTACTTATAAATTTTTAGTACTGGGGATTGAGCCCACAGGTGCTTTACCACTGAGGTGCACCCCCTAGTCCTTTTTATTTTTTATTTTGAGGCAGGGTCTCACTAAGTTGATGAGGGTTTGCTACATTGCTGAGGCTGGCCTTAAACTTGTGATCCTCCTGCTTCGGCCTCCTGAATCACTGGCATTATAGGTTTGTGCCCATCTTCTACGGCTTTAAGTTAAAGAAGAGGATTGCAAATTGCAAACTTTGTGTTAGGTGATGCACATTTTAGTGATACCTCAAAGCCATCAGATAACATTCTGGAAATCTAGAGAGAAGTTACTGATTAGTAAGTTTTATGACTGATGGTTTCTTAGTTTCATTTCCGGGGAATGGTTAACCTTGCAGTTTAAGATACAGAACAATGGAGAAGAACAAAAGGCAACTTTTGTTGGAGAACCATTTTAACCCATTAGCTGGCTTCGATCATCAGCAGCAAAGTTTCTGGGAGACATATACTAAATTTCTCAGCTGTGTGACCTCCAAAATTAATGATTTTTAAAGTCAACTAAAAGCAAATGAAGCTAGCTGGTTTATTCAGGGTTTTCCTTGGTTACACTCACCCTGGTTGCTAATAGGAGCTCCCCAGGGTTGCTGCTATTGTGCTACTCTCATTGAGGCTGCCTGCCTCGCCTGTCAGTCTCTGTTCCACTTGTAGCTAAAAGAATGTGATCCTCCTGGCTTACTGTCCTCTTAGAAGTGAAGTTCCTTCTAGATCAGATTGCTTTTTCTGGAGAGAATCAAGCCCTGCTTTGATTTCAGGGGAAGAACAGAAGTCTGGGAGTATGAAGGACTGAGACGTTTGTTTGATTTGGCTCTACAAGTTAAGAGGAGAAACCACAGGGAGAGAAAGAAAGAGGAGGTTTGAAATTCTTCTCTTGCCAATTGTTTTGTTTCAGAAACTTCACAGGAATTTTCAGACAGCATCTCCATGGTTATTAATTCTAGTATTTTGGAAAGCAGCCTTGTAAACAGCTAAGTATTTTTTCTAAGTAACTTTGAAAAAAATTAATCATGAATCATTGGCCAACGTCTTGAGTCTTTTTATTTTTTGATAGAATTTGTTCTGAAAATAGCATTTGATAATATTCTGAAACGTCATTTTCTCAAGTTTAAAGACCCATTTAGGAAAACATATATCTACAAAAAACTTATGACCACATGTATGTAAATGTAAGTGCATATTTTTTTCATTATGAGAAGAATGCAAGTAACATAAAACACAGAAGCTTAAATTTTCATCTATCGTATATAAGTACTATGAACATTTTTGATGTATTCCCTACCAGATTTTCCTCCTTTTTTATTATTGAATTTTCTTTATTTTATAATTGTAATTATTGCTGTCCCATTTCAAACACAGCTATTTCTCCCACGTGTTGCATAACCTGCTGCTTTTTGAAAAAAGTCTTTGTTTCCTAGGCGTGGTGGTACATACCCATAATCCCAGCAACACAGGAGGCTGAGGCAGGAGAATTGTTAATTCAAGTCCAGCCTCAGCAAATTGTGAGGCCTTAAGCAACTTAGTGAGACCCTGTCTCAAAATAAAAAGGGCTGGGGATGTGGCTCAGTGGTAGAACACCCCTAGGTTCAATCCCAGTACACCTCAAAATTATTTTAAAAACAGAAAATTTTTGTTTAAGCAACTATAAAAATAACATATTCTCATTGTTTTAAAAATAAAAAAGTGTGGCAATAAAAATATACATACAGTCAAAAATATACATTTTCTTCAGGATAGAGTTTTCTCAAAGAATTCTAAAAAGCCAAGCATGGTATCATGCACTTAATTCCAGCTACCTGGGAGGCTGAGGCAGGAAGATATCCTGGGTGCAGGAGTGTGAGACCATACTACACAACATAGAGAGACCCCATCTCAAAAAGAAATATTTTAAATATTTTTTAAAAAATTAAATAAAAATAGAGACAGAATACATACTGATCCATTGGAAGAGAAGTTACAATCAATGGAGTCTGGAATTCTTGGTGAAGGTTATTTTACCTACCCACCCTGTGTCTTTCAGGCAAAGGTGTTTAAGGGGTGGCTCCATCAAATGTCACCTGTGGGTAGAAGTCCTCGTGCTATGATTTCAGAGATGAGTGATATTGGACAGGACTCCATTTTTCTACTCATCAATCATTCTGCTTGAAATTACAGGAATTTGTTTGCCACTCAGACAAAAGATGCTTCAGCTGGGCATGGCAGCACACGTATATAATACCAGCTACTCAGGAGGCTGAGACAGGAGGATCACAACCTGGAGGTCAACCACGGCACTTTAGTGAGACCCTGTCCCAAATTTTTAAAATAAAATAAAAAGGGTGGGGATGTAGCTCCATGGTAGAGTGCTCCTGGGTCCGGTTCCCAGTACCACCAAAAAGAAAAAAGAAAAGAAAAAAATTTAATTTAATTAAAATAAAATTAAAAGGTGCTTCCATCTTACTTCCTTAAGTTCAAATCCCCATCTTAATTTGTCAGGTCCATTTCTTCAGTGCAACGTTGGACAAGGATGTGTTGGTGTAAGAGATACTATAGGAATGGTTTGGAAATATAGGAAAGAACCTGAAACACATTCAGCTGGGGATGTTGAAAGAAATCAGGGTATTCTCCTGGGAACTGGGTGCCTGGAGGTGGGTGTATGGGAGTGGTTGGCAGATAGGAAGGTTATAGAGGAGGGAGCAATGCAACTCTGCGTAGGAGGTACATTTCTGTAAGATAAACTGGGAAAAGGCAGATTTTGTTTTCTTTCTGGTTCTTCCCACAGTTAAGTCAGTGCTGTATGGAGCACAGTGCACAAATCACCCAGGAGGAGCTGGGAGAGCAGCTCAGTGGTGGAGGGCTGCCAAGCATGCACAGGGTTCAATCCCAGTGCCACACACACACTCACACTCACAAATCCATGAATGTGGTTGGCATTCAGCAAGTTCACCTTGATAGAGTCACAGTTCTGACAATATTAAAACTGTTCTACTAGCAACACAGCTTCTCCCAGAGGCTTTCGCTCTCTCTTTTCCTGCCCTGGCTGCCCTGCTGGAGACCCCTGAACCTCCTGTGATTTTTTTCAAGAAAGAAGGTTAACAGCTGGCAGAACAAGGAAACCCCCACACCCTTTCTGACAACTGTCCAAAGTCGTGATAAAGATGCGCATGTCATTCCTGCTGATGAAGACCTGGACCACTTGCCATGTCTTAAATGGCAACTGTCAAAGTTGTGAAGATCCCAGCTACCAGATCTTCCAGACACAAAGCAGGTTTTTACAATATAGATAGAATCCATCCACATATTGGTCTTCACTTTCTTTTTAAAAAATATTGCGGTAAAATATATATTAATTTTTTGCCATTGAAACCTTTTTTTCTTTTCCTTTTTTTTTTCTTATTTTATCTGTGTGTGTGTGTGTTGGGGGGGGGGGGAATGGAACCCAGGACCTTATACATGCTAAGCATGCACTCTACCACTGAGCTGCATTTCTAGCCTCTAGCCCCTACCATTATAATGATTTTTTTTTCTATTGAGTATTGAAGCCAGGGGCACTCTACCGCTGAACCATATCTCCAACCCTTTTATTTTATTTTATTTTGAGAGAGTCTCACTAAATTGTCCAGGCTGCACTCAAACTTGAGATCCTCCTGCCTCAGCTCATGAGTAGCTGGGATTACAGGTGTGCGCCACCATGCCTGGCTATGTTTTCTTTTAATCTCTGTGTATTGAATAACTGTTTTCATTTGATTTTATGTTTTAGCAGAATCAGCATTTATTTCTACTCAGTTGTTTTTACTTTGTATTTAATTTTTACATTTATTTATTTTTTTAAATTATTATTTCCTTGGGGGAACTACTTCGTCCTAGTATACTACTATGTCATTCATATGGAGAAAAATCTACTCCCTGGCTCAAGAAGCAAAAATGCTATTCAGGACATCCCTAGAAGAACAACAGATTCTCCTGGCCACAGTGATTGGCTTGGAGGTATACACACAATCCAAGCTGAAACAGAGGGCACTGGAGTAAGATCTTTCTGTTGGTGTTGCTATACTGGAGTCATATAGTTTGAAGCCACCACATAGATGCCTGAGAGTGAAACCAGCACAGAAGATAGTAGAGCCGAGACAGATGTGAGAAACACAGTGTCCTACTGACATCATTTGAGTGCCTGGATCAAGCTTTACCTGAAGTTTATTTCTTGAACATTCATATATTGAGGCAATCTATCCTCTTTCTAATTTAAACCAAATTGAATTGACTTTCTTTCATTTACAACAGGAATCCTGACATTTAAGTTTAGTTTTGTTTTCAACAGTTCTGAGGATGGAACCCAGGAGCACTTTACCACTGAGCAACATTCTCAGCCCTTTTTATTTTTTATTGTGAGACAGGTTCTTGCTATTGCCAGTGCTGGCCTGCAGCTTGCCATCTTCCTGATTCAGCCTCACGAGTAGCAGGGATGACAGGTGTGCACCACCATGCTTGGCCTGACGCACATCTTTCCTGTTGTCCTTTACCACCTGGCATTATGAGTGAACAACTTAGCATCTCCAGCTTTCCCTAGCTGTATGCCACTGCTAAATGTGGTTTCCTAATTATGGCTCTGGCCTGTTCGGATTTCTCTATTTCACCACCAACTTGTGCAGCAGTATAATTGAAATCTGTTGGAATAGCCTATATACAGATGTGTGTGTGTGAAATGAGTGATAGACTAACCTAGATAAGGACAGTCTAGTTGACATCTTTCCTGGGAGAATTCCTGCCTTCCATACTTCCCTCAATTCCAGGTTAAGTGGTGCCGCAGTCTGGCTGGGCACAAAATCACGAGCCACCACACAGCTTGTAGATTCAAACAGCAACTCTTTATTCCCGAACTCACACCAGCACTCTACAATCACGTTCTGGGGAAATCCACGTTCTCTGCCCAAATCCACCCCCGCTGGGATTCTGTCTCCCAAAAAATACTGTCTGATCCCATGAGAACTCAAGGGGAACTCAGGCAGCAGGATACGCCCTATTCCCAGCAGCAATAACCTTAAACCTGGAACCACCCTAAACCCGGATTGTCTTAAACCAGGAACGCTCTAAACCCGGATCCGCCCTGGTCCTTGAGCAAGGTCACCTACATGCAATGTCACTGATGATGATGATGATGACCTACATTAGGGAGAACTGTTCTCTTTTCCCCTGCCTTCTCTTAAAAGGCTGCAGGAAATCAGTCATGATAGTCTCACACTCTACTGGTTGACCTAGAGGCCTTCTCCACAAAAATAGTGATAAAATCTTACACCCACACTGGATACCAAGCCTTTGATACAGTGGGAAAATTATACAATACTTCTCATTTGACACCTATACATGACATCTCCAAATGGGTACTGTTCCAGGTCGTAGAGAGCTAAGCTGTACATGAAATCGATTCCAGAGATTCACCTTTTGTTTAATTAAGACATACTTACTTATTCATCAGGAAGTATCTCCAGTTGAGTGGCCTTTGGAAAAGATTGCTACCCAGAATCTGAGGTATCATAGGTACTTTCACCAATAATGACTAGCTAGAATTGTAAGGGTAAAAGAAATTGAAGTTAAAGCGTAAAAGTTAAAGGGTAAAAGACCGGGTGTTGTAAAAGTTTCTAAGCTGCAAGGTCTGAGTTAAAATGTAAAGGAGGTATTGTTAGGTTTCTATGCTACCTGCAAAATCTGAAATTTCTGTAGCTGTTAAGACAATGCTTAGAACTTCCCAGTAAACATTTCCCCTGATTGTCTGGTTGTTTAATAACTGAAGGGGTCTGTGTGGTTGCACGTAGGCCTTGCAGGGCCTGAACCAATCAGTTTGAATGTGTACCCCGTTTAGAAATGACCTATCACTCCAGCCTGACCTGTTCCCACCAATGAATGAACTAATCATGTTTAGGAGTTGTTGTTCAATTTTCCCGCGCCTCATGATGATTTGTTCTGATGTATACAAAGCCCTCCGCCCTCCCCAAAAAGTATACTTAAGCAGTGCTCAGCCCCTGCTCGGGGCTCTGGGCTGCTTTCCCTTCTTGAGTGGGCATGGAGCCCCAGCATGCTGGTTCAATAAATCCCCTTCTGCCAATTGCATGAGTGGTCACTTGGTGGTCTCTTTCTCCGACGTTTTGTAGGACCCTTACAGAATAGTGACTAAAACCTTAAAATGGACCTCAAAAGCCTGGGATTTAAAACAAAAAGCTTCCATTGAGAAGATTCTTGAGACCTAGCTTCCTTCCTTCCCTCTCTGATGCTAAGAGCCAAGTATATGATGCATGGCATTTTTGGTTGAAAGGTGACGCCAGCTAGCCATTGAGATGATATGATTATGTTAAGATTTACATTCATATGGATATTGGACTCCTTCTGTTCACCTCGGCCTGCTACGGGACTCCTGGAGAGTTCCCATTGGTTGGGGAAGTACAGTAGGAGGGAGTTCCGGGGGAGAAACTCTCTCTGGCGGTTCCGGGAGGAGGCCGAGTGGGTGGATCAGAAATCTTCCCGGGTGTGTACCGGACATTGGCAGCAGTTTCAAAAAAATAAAGTTTGTTCCTGCTTGAGTGGCTCGTGATTTTGTGCCCAGCCAGACTGCGGCACTCTGCCACCTTCTTTTCTTTTATTTTTGTAATGCTGGGGATTGAACCCAAGCCCTCACAGATAGATAGCTAAGCAAGCACTCTACCATTCTACCTAGTCCCAAGACCTAGCATTTTAAAGACGCACAGAACAGCTGGCACATCTGAATCTCAGGATTGTATTTCAGAAACAATTATTGAGGCTGGCCTTGAACTTGTGATTCTCCTCCCCCAGCCTCCTGAGTTGCCAGGTTACAGGCATACACCACCACACCTGGCTTAAAAATCAGGAATATTATACTGTGTTGTATTGATAAAATGCAGGATGTAAGTACAGAAAGAATTATAAGCAACTTCATTTATTCAGTATACTTTGTTTTTATTTACCTATTTAGAGGTGAGGGTCTCACTAAATTGCTCAGGTTGGCCTCCAACTCAAAATCCTCTTACTTCAACCTCATAAATAACTAAAATTTTAGGAGTGAGCCATTGCACCTGGCTTTCAATATACTTTAGATGATGTTTTTTTTGGATTACAATTTTAAAAACTCTTTCGTTGTTACAACATATATAAACATTCATGATTACATTAAGCATACATATGTACTTTGATGAATTTTTATTATGTGTACATCCAGGCAAACTTCCATCCATATCAAGATTCAGAAAAAGTTCAGTTCTCCAAAAGGTACATTTTTATTGTAATTAAAAACTAAATCTAAACCCAGAACAGTGGCACATACCTGTAATCCCAGCAGCTCTGGAGGCCAAGGCAGGAGGATTACAAGTTCAAAGCCAGCCTGAGCAACTTAGTGAGGCCCTAAGTAATTTAGTGAAACCCTGTTTCTCAAAATTTAAAAAAAATTAAAAAGGCTGCAGATTTGGCTCAGTGGTTAAGCACCTCTGGCTTCAACCCCTAGTACCTAAAATAAAAATTAAATATAGGGATGGGAATATAGCTCAGTGATCCCAAGCACTGCAAAAAAATTAAAATACATAAATGCAGATTAATTAAACAAACAAACACATTTAAATACTTAATATATTAAAATAATTAAATAAAATATGATCTTACATTATAGAATACTTGGAAAATTAAACAATAATCTGCCAGTACACACCTATAATCCCAGCTACTCAGGAGGTTGGATCAGGATGATCACAAATTAGAGGTAGGCTGGGGCAACCTAGTGAGACCCTGTCTCAAAATTTAAAATATAAATTAATTAATTTAAAAAATATATATTTTTAGTTGTAGATGGACACAATACTTTTATTTGTTTATTTATTTATTTTTTTAAATGTGGTGCTGGGAAATGAAACCCAGTGCCTCACGCATGCTAGGCAAGCACTCTACCACTGAGCCACAACCCCAGCCCTAAACTCATTTTTAAAAAGGGCTGAGGTTGCCGCTTAGTGGTAGGATGCTTGCCATGAATATGCAAAACCCTAGATTCAATCTTCAGTATTGAAAAAAAAAAAAGAAGAAGAAGAAAAAGAAGAAAGAAAGAAAATGATATTCTATTATGATTTAGATCTAGAAATGCCTCCTGAAAAACTCATATTTTGAAAGCATGAAATCCAATGCAGCAAGATTCAGAGGTGGGGCTTTTAGGTAATGATGAGATCTATAACCTCAACAGTGGATTACTCCATTTCATGGATTAATAATTTGAATGTACTACTGGGTGGTAACTGTGGGCAGATTGGGGGTGGCTGGAGGAAGTAGGTCACTGGCTACATGACCTTGGGGATTATATCTTGTCTCCCTATCTTCTCCTCCTCCTCCTCCTCCTCCTCCTCCTCCTCCTCCTCCTCCTCCTTCCTCCTCTTCTTCTCTCTCTCTCCTCTCCTCTCTTCTCTTCTCTTCTCTCTTCTCTCTCTCTCTCTCTCTCTCTCTCTCTCTCTTTCCTGGCAATCATGGGGTGAACAGCTTTTTTCTGCCATCATGTTCTGCCATGAAGTTCCACCATTGCCTATCCCTAGAAAAATGGAGTGAGTCCCTGACCATGGATGGAATCTCTGACACTGTGAACCCAAAATAAACTTTTCCTCCTTTATGCTATTCTTGTCAGGTATTTTGTCCACAGAGATAAAAAGCTAACACATCTTTCATTGTTTTATCACTTAATAAAACTCTTTTAATTTCTTTTTTGCGGGGGAGAGGGATACTGGGGATTGAACTCAGGGACACTCAACCACTGAGACACATCACTAGCCCTATTTTGTATTTTATTTAGAGACAGGGTCTCACTGAGTTGCTGAGTCTGGCTTTGAACTCCTGTCTCAGCCTCCTGAGCCACTGGGATTGCAGGATTGTTCCACCACACCCGGCCTATTTTAATTTCTGATCATTTCATTTGCCTTTTTCATACGCCTTTTTAAAAATTAGGAATGGAGTACATATGAAATTTTGAATCCTGATTTTCCACCTTATGTTGTATGCATTTTATGCTGTTTCATAATTTCTTGGGTTGTTTGCTTGTTTGTCTCTTTTTGTGGTGCTGGGAATTGAACCCCGAGCCCTTTGCCTGCTAGAAAAATGTTATATAATCAAGAAACACTCCTAACCCCTAATTCCTTGAATTCATAATTGTATTATCCTACAAAGATTGCCCTAAAGAAATATACTGCCATCTTCCTTACTATTTCCCTACTGTTAAGAAATGGTTTCTTCCAACATTTGCCCTTTATTATGATAAATATTTTTGTGTATTGGGATTTTTGCAGCTTAACCATGAGTTTTCCAGTGTTCGTTTTACTAAAAACAAAGAAAACAAAACATGGGGGTGGAAAAAAAATAGGTCTCTAGTACCTCTGCCAAGGCATTAACTTATTTGACTTTCTATTCCGTAAATATTGGATCAAGCTGAGATGGTGGAGGATTCCTGTAATCCCAGCAATGTGGGAGGCTGAGACAGGTGGATGGCAAGTTCAAGGTGATGTGACTCAGTGGTAAAGCATCACTGGGTTAAATCCCCAATACCAAAAATAAATAAATAAATAAGCATAGAATCATTTTTATTATCCCAGTCTAAAAGAAACCTTAAAATAACCAGATTCTTAGAAACTTAGAATGATCATTTCCATTTGTTTTAGAATTGCATTTGCTGTATTCACTGTGAACACAAAACTATTGTATAACTTCTTGAGTCAGCATCTCAGGCTTCCTAAGAAACCAGCGTCATCACCCCATCCCCGCTTTAGCAGCTTCTATCCACAGATTTTAGTCATTGACTTGCCCACCTTCCTCTGGGTGCTTGTTGTCCTCAATTTTCTCTCTCTAGTTCTCCTTCTCTCTAACTCAGGAGGCTGACCCCTATGGTCAGCAATTGGCTGGTGCCCCCCAGCAAGGAGGAAGCAGCAAGAAGCAGGGATATTTATTCTGTTAAGCACCTCCCTGCTGGGTCACTAAAGATGGCCATGTTGTTATGGGACAGGCTATAAGGACAATAACCAAACAGACTCCATTTTACCTTGAGACTCCATGTCATGTGAGAAATGCTCCTTCCGTGGGAACACCCTGCCTCTGCATCCACCAACAGTTGCTTAGCACAGCATGTTTGGCAACACAAAATGGCAATTCTTATACAATGTAAAATTGTTTTTCTTTGGGTCCCATTTTTCTTGGACCTGTCAGAGGAATGATTGTCTAGATGTTAGTAACCATTCTTTAACTTGTACTCAACTAGGGTCATTTTGACCCACTTCCCCTTCTGGTGATGATTTTAGATCTCATGATGTTTATTTATGGTTTTGAATCACAGCAACAGCCACTTATGATTAACGTGGTTTTGGACTATGAAGGTTGTACTCCAACCCTTAGAGGGGGTCGAAGCCTGCCCCTTGGCTCTCCACCTGGTGAATCCAGAACTCCAGCTGGTGAATAAAGATGGTTGCATCTCCTGCTTTAAGATCAACTTGGTGATTTATTGTAATCTCGCCATAACAATGTCCCTCCATCAGTAGTCATTGCTCCTATCAAGGAAGCCCTCTCCACAGAACTCTCTTGAGTTTCTCTTTCTGGGTCTTTTTAACCATCTCTCACCTTATCCCTTCATGCTTCCAGATAACAGCAGCCCAGGATCCGGCACCACTCCTGTGGCTTCCCATATCCTTTCCACATTTGTAAATAGTCCTTTTCATTGACCCGTTTGATTACCCTAATTTGAGTGTGCCATCTTTTTCCCATTTCCTGCTGAGATGTGTCTCACTCACTCCAGATACACTTTTAATAAGTATAACTCAGACTGTCACAAAATTGGAGCAGTTACCATTTGCTTTGTTGATAATTATGGTCCAGAAAATATTGACCATGGCTCACACTGCTTACCTTTTTAGCTTTCATCTCTGTGTTGCTCAGTTATTTCACAACTCCCTTTCAGAACTGGAAAGAAACTTTACCAGAAATAAACTTTAAATGTTCAGGCTGGGTGCAGTGGCGCACGCTTTATAATCCCAGTGGCTCAGGAGGCTGAGGTAGGAGAATGGCGAGTCTAAAGCCAGTTGGCAAGTTAGCAAGGCCTTGAGCAATTTAGCAAAACCCTGACTCTAAATAAAATACAAAAGGGAGCTGGTGATATGGTTAAGTGCCTGTGGGTTCAATTCCTGGTACAAAAAAAGGAAATCCCCAGTGATCTATGAACTAAGAGTTTTATTTTGCTTAAGTGTAACAGTGGTTCACTTGATGCTTTGACTATTTCAAAATCCTTGTGGTTTTGAAATTTACACATTTTTTTTTCTTTTTCCCAATCTTCTTTTCCCTAACCTTCTCCTTCCTGATTTCCTCCCTGATCTTCTCCTTCCTGATTTCTCCTCTAATCTCATTTTCTCTCAATCGCCTCTATAAAAGCCCCCTGTTCCTATGGATGAGCAGAATCACAGCCTTTGGGACAGGAGTCCTCTGTGTTTCTCCTTTGCTAACAAAGCAATAAATTTTCTTTTTCTTTTTTCTCAAAATTGTGTCCTCGTTAATGGGTTGCCATCTGGGACAAGGATCAAGCTTTTGGCAATACAACGAAAGCAAATAAAGTTTAGATTTTTGTCTCATAAAAATTCTCATGTTAGGGCTGGGGCTATAGCTTAGTGGCAGAGAGCTTGCCTAGCATGCATGAAGCACTGGGTTTGATCCTCAGCACCATATAAAAATAAATAAAATAAAGGTATTGTGTCCAACTACAATTTAAAAAATAAATATATATTTTTTAAAAATTCTCATGTTAAACAAATATCTATGCCAGAACTTCTTTAGTAATAGTATGAACAGATGTTAGATATGTATTTTTCCTTAGTCAATGTGCAATGTCTAGCAGGTTGTGAAACCATAACTCTGAGAATCATAGCTTCAAAAACAATAATCCACCTCTCTGAGTGTTTGAGTTATTTCATATCTGTGAGATGATCTAATTTAGAAGCTAAAGTAAGTCTTCCAAGCATTTTTTTTTCTTTTTTGGTAGTAGGAATTGAACCTAGGGGTGTTTTACCACTCCAACCCTTTTTATATTTTATCTTGAGGAAAGGTGTCACTAAATTTTCTAGGTTGCCTAGCCACTTGTGATCCTCCTGCCTCAGTATCCTCAATCACAGGAATGATAGGTGTGTGCTCTTCCAAACCTTTAAAAGCCTTATCTGGTAAGTCATTTTCTGAGTGTGCTTAGTTTAAGTTATGATTTCATAGGGAAAAATGGTTTTTTTTAGTATTAAGGAGACATTAACTTAATTAAAGGGAAATAGAATTGCTGGATAAATTATATAGTACCTGAAGAAAGAAGACAAGGTGTCCAAGGGTGAACTCAATCCATTATATTATTTCCTTCATATGCTTTTTCTTCTGATTTCACTTGAACTTGCTTTGCTCTTACAGAGGGTGTGATTAGTACCCTTGAAAAACAATGAAAAAGAGAAGGGCTGAATCAAGGTCAGGGGAATCTTGGGCTTCCTCCCAGCTATTGGGCAATCTTCTCTCCTGGCTCCACACTTTTCCTTAAGCAAGCTCTTCTATCCCCAGGTCTCCACTTACCACAGATGACTCTCCGATTTCTCTCTTTACCTATCTGAGCTGCAGACTCAAAAATACAACTGTCTTCTTGACATTCACCCGTGGCAAATGACCTTCCTTCTCACACACAGGTTTGTTCCTTTTTCTAGGTTTTATGTATAAAGGAATGACACCACCATTCATGCAGTGACACAAACCAGAAGCCTAAGGATCATCCTGGACACAGCCTGCCTCTCATTCCCTCACCCACTTTATCTCCAAAATTTCTCTAACAGCCATTCTGTCCAACACCAGCACCAACCCTCCATTCCCACCCACTCTCACCTCTTTCCCAGACAACAGCAGTCAACTCTGTATTAGTCAGCTTTGAAATAATTAATTTACAAAGAGAAAAGGTTTATTTTGGCTCATGGTTCTGAAGTGCCAGTCTAAGACTGGGTTACCCCACTGAAGGCACCAATTGGCAATAGCAGGGAGTGTGTGGTAAGCAAAGGTCTTGCATCAGGAGCCAGGGAATTAAAGGAAAGGAACAAAAGCCCTTTCAGAGGTACAACCCAGAGGCCTAAGGACCTCCCACAACACCCCTTCCTTCAGAAGTCCCATCATCTCCCCATTGTACCACCCGGGGACCACAACTTTAAGTCATGAGCCTTTGGTGGACCCTCATCCAAACCATAGCACCTCTTAACTGGTGTCTTAGGATCCACCCTTCCCAACCTTTCTACCAGTTCTGCTGTACTCTGTTGGAGCCACTGTTTTTGAAATGCAAATCCATATATACTCCTCTTGCATTTTCCTTCAGTGACTTCCTATTTACTTCTCTTATCCTAAAAGTCTTTGAACCCGGCCTAAAAATCTAAACTAAACCAGGGACGGTGGCGCACGCCTGTAATCACAGCAGCTCAGGAGGCTGAGACAGGAGGATCACAAGTTCAGCAATGGTGAAGTACTAAGCAACTTAGTGAGACCCAGTCTCTAAATAAAATACAAAATAGGGCTAGAGATGTGACTCAGTGGTTGAGTGCCCCTGTGTTCAATCCCTAGTACCTTGCCCCACAAAATCTAAACTAAGCTCCAACTAATCTTTATTTCATTTCTACTGCTTACTGGATGTATAATTTTGGATAAGTTACTTATGTATGCCTCATTTTCTCCATCTGTAAAAGGAGGATAATAATAGTATCTTCCAGTCATGAGGATCAATGTAAAGTGCTTAGAACTTAGTTGGTAGGTGCTTAACAATATTAAGCTCTTGTTCCAATGTCTTTGCTTCCTGCATGATTCTGCCATTTCTTAAGGGGTTATGCTTCATTCTCTTTCCAGCGCTGTCCTTTAGCTTAGCACTGATTCCTTCCATCATCAACTAGCCACTCTTCCTCCAGGAAGCCCTCCATGGTCTCTTCAACTGTACAAGTACTTCTGTTACACTCTTTCACAGCATCACATACCTTTCCTTAATAACACTTATCACTGAAAGAACAACCGGACAAGGCTCGTGGTTGTCAAAATACCTGTTTATTGAGGAACAGCTTTGCACATTTATAAAGCCAGGGGTGGTTCAACAGAGCAGTCCACGGGGCGCTTTCTGATTGGTGGGTAAGGATCATGCGGGTCAGCAGGGCTCACCATTGGGCGGCTCTTCCAGCCACTGTCTCCGGGCATGGGGAAGTTAGTACCAGAAGAGAAGCGCTGTAGGCACCATCTTTGGAGCCGGGGTGACTCCCAACAATCACAGTTGTATTTTTACATTTATTTAGGTGGTCATATGATTAATGTCTCTTTCTCACAGGACATTGATCTGTCCCTGATGGCAGGGCAGGACAGATGGGATCTTGTTTTTTTCCCCTTTAGCTCCTGTCTTCATCTTGTAGCTTCTTTCTTGGCACAGAATAGGTACTCAACATTAACTGAAAGAAAATGAATCATTGTATACTGAGAGGAGTTTAAAGGGAAAAGGCCTGGGCACATAGCACATGCCAGAAACCCTAGCAACTAGGGAAAGTGAGGAAAGAGGATTTCAAGTTCAAGGCCAGCCTGGGAAACATAGTGAGACCTTGTCTCAAGATAAAAAATCCAAAGCCGTGGCTGTGGCTCTGTAGCAGAGTCCTTGCCAATCATGTACAAGGCCCTGGGTTTAATTCCCAGTAAAACAAAGGCAATGGGAACTCTCTAGCATATGGCAGGCTGCTGCCTCTCCCCTCGGCCAGACAGCAGCATTTGCCAGTTAATAAGGAAGGGTGTTCCTCCAAGAAGCCTGCCTGACAATCACCCCCTACTAAGCTATTCCAGGATGTTGATGGTTATCCCCTTCTCTAGGTGTTGGCCATCCCAGTAGACTTATGGTTCCACACCATGTTCCTTGGGAAGGCCTAACCTAATCATGCAAAACCATAATGTCCCCTTGAAAACTCCTCCTAGGAAAGCTGAGTCGCTGAAGTCCTGCCTTGACCAGGGGATGTCAGACAGATTGTACTTCTGGTACCTTTGATTTCTTCTTCTCAGGACTGAGTCTAGTTTGCTCCCTTTTAACTGGCTTTTTTATGATATTACACAGATAAAATAAGAAGAAGAATAACAGCTAACATTAATTAGCTGTTGGTATTTGTTATTGCCAAGCCCCTATGCAAGGCATGTCTTAGGTATTATTTCACTTAATTAGAGAAAATTAGGGCAAATGTTATCATAACCTCCATTTTATTGTTAAAGACACTGAGATAATATTTAGAGAGAAAGATAAAGAAATTAATATTATGTGGCCAGTTAGCAGCAGTGCCAGATTTTGAACCCAAGGAGTATTATACTGAAGCCAGATTTAAAGTTAGGTAGTCAGTGTAGTTAGGTAAATCGGGTCTAATATCAAGTAAGATCCAAAATGGAGGCCATGTTGAGAATGAAGTCCGGGAAAAGCAGAACAACTCTTGGAATGTTAATGTCCCCAAGGCCCAGGGCCCATCCCAAAGAAGTGTTAATGAAGATTACTTCTTTGCCCCACCTGTGCCCCACCCTTCGGCCTTCCCACCTACATTCCATCACTGAAAGAACTATAAAAAGGGGAAACAACCGCACTTGTCAGGGACTAGAAGGAAATTCTCCTTCAAAGATTAGCCTGACAGCCCCCTGGGAGACATCCTGCCTGGGAGGCATCCTGCAGCTACCTATCTCCCTGGAACATCCTGCGGTTATCAGGATCATCAGACATCTGGCAGTTTTACCACCCACATCCAGCAATTGTTGATTAGAGAGCTTCCCCATCCCCAGCATATAAATACCCCTGTGTGAACAATAAAAGTTTGCAGCTTGATCAGACACCTGTCTTGCTGTCACCTTTCGTGTCTCTTGTCCCTTCATTCCTCCCCATCTAGGTTCGCTGCCCACGTTGATGTGTCCTGTTGATGTGTCCTGCCGGACGGGACACACTTCCACGGATTCCACTTCTTGAGTCCCCTTCTTCCTCCAGGAGAAGTCTTTTCTGCTGTCCTTTAATAAACTTCTATTTTCCACTCTAACCTTGCCTCGGCGTGCTTCTCTGGTGTTATACTTCAACATTGGGGAAGCAAGGACTCCTCACTGGTCAACAGGGGTAACAATACCACAGCCCACCCTGCCTAGTTATAGATAATGATGTCTTAGTGATCCTAACTCATAAGCCCTATCCAGTGAGGCAAACTCCAAAGACATTCATATTATCTTAAGCTGCCAAATACATCATGAACACAATGACATAAATTTTAGGATCAAAAGGCAAAGTTATCTAGATTCTTAATTTGCAATTGAGCATATCATGAGTGCCAGCACAATGTAAGTGCTCAATAAAATGCATTTATTTAGTGAATAAATGGATTGCACCGGTCACAACATGTGCCCTTTAATTGAATTGTGACTATTTCCTCATACAATTTCTCCACAACAGAAGATCCTCTCCAAAAATATAGAATGAGAGATTTCCTTCTTTTTCTATTTTTTTTTTAACTTTCTTTTTTCAGCACCATGGATCCAACCAAGGACCTCTCACAGGCTGGCTCCACAAGAGCTCTACCACTGCACTATACCCCAGCCCAGGATTTCCTTCTTAATTCATTCTCCATGGCTTAGACAATCAGATTACAAATGCATGGTCTTAGCATCTGTCCATTCATTCCACTACCATTTATTCACAAGCTACAGTGTGCCCTTCCTTTGCCTTACTCGAGAAGAAACATTTTCCCTGAACACTGTGCAGCTTGGCACCTCTTCTGTCTGCTCTCTTTTTGTAGGCAGGCCTGTCCACTTGCCCTATGAGGCACATGAGCTTCATCTGCCACTCTATCCCTAGCGAGATTCCCTCTCCCACGCCTAGCCTACATTGGACTGCCTCAGGTATCTCAGCAGAGATACTATAGAAACTATGATTTTTAGATATCATTTCTCTCTGAAGTGATCTTTAATTAAAATAAAAAGTTCTATGATCTACATTATGAAAAAGTATTCAGTGCATAAAATTTTTAAATGCCATATGAATTTCTAAAATGACAATTACAATAGATAATATTTAAAGAAACTATACTGTATATCAAACAAAGAGCTAACAAATTTTCATTAATATTTCAACTTTACATAAAAGGAAAATTCACAAGGGTTAGAAAGTACTTTCTTAAACTCCTTAGCTAGTAAATGACTGTCTGTAACTAAGTTTGTCTGTTTTTACAGTACTGTGGGTTAAACCCAGGGTCTCTCACATGGTAGGCAAGCACTACCACTGAAAAACATCTGCAACCTTTTTTTTTTATTTTATTTTAGTACAGGGTCTTACTATGTTGTCCAGGCTGACCTTGAACTTGTGACCCTCCTGCCTCAGCCTCCCTAGCAGCTGGGATTAGAGGCATGTCACCATGCTCAATTCTCAGTGGTTAAATAGTGAAAAACCAGCCTCTACCTCAGAGCAAAGCCTGTCCAAGGAAGGGACATCACCTTTGTCCTTGGAAAAACCCACAGAGTACTCCTAGGCACATTGGGGGTCCCGAATTTGAGCATAACGTATGGGGGCTCGTCCGGGATCCCCCTAATAAGCCTACCCAGACACCCCAATCGAGAGGTGATGAAAACCCGGCCAGTAAGTAAAAGCATTGCCGATGTGTAAGTTTCTGTACTCTGGTTGCCTGCAGGTTCTGGTTCTGTGTTGTGAGGTTGGCAAAAGGTCCAGGTGGACACACGGAAGGGCAGCTGACGGGGTTTGTGGGAGACGTCCCCAGCCCCTTTCTGGGTTCTGAGTGGATTTCCTGTAGTAAAGTATTTTGTGAAGTATTTGGTGAAGTATTTTGTAGCTGACAGATCCGAGGTCCTCCTGAGCCTTTAGTTTCTGGGTAGCAATCCACGACACGCTTCAAATTCTGTGGCCGCGCTGCGAATTTTGTGTTATGTGTGTTTGTTTCTATTGTCCTGTCCGTCTCCACCCCAACACCCTGGCAAGAAAACTAATCTCCGATTCTGGGGTCGTCAGACCCAACCTGAGGGGGATGCTCCCCCAATCCTTTTGTCTGAAGGGAAGGCCCCAGTTGGCTTGGGGCCAGCACCCACTTTCATTTTTTTGACAATCTGAAAAGGGAATCTATGTCTTTGTGCATCTTTTTGTCTGTGTCTCTGTTAAGTGTGATGGCATCGTTTTACTTTGGGCAGATGCAGAGTCCCAAGTTCCGATCTGTTGGCAGCATGTCCACCCTGGCCCCTGGAGCCCAACCTCCACTAGTTTGTTCTGTATGCCAGTGTGGCCAGCTCACAAGGCCATGGCGAACTTGCAGTTTTTCTGTTCCTGCTTGTCCATCTGAGACATATGTGTCCCACGGGAATGCCTTGACCTTTTCTGGTCTGATGGACTTCTTGTTAAGGGAGGTTTTGGTACCTGACAATAATAGATGTTGAAACTAAATTTCTCCCCCCTCCCTCCTGCTTTTGGGTAGTTTTCCACTTCTGCTGCTTGGGGTATAAAAAAAGTGTGTTAGCAATAAAGTGTGTGACTCCTGGATGAAGAACCTTGGTGTCCTGTGTGTCTTTTAACCTCGCCGTCCCTCGCTGGACTCGGCTCCCTTGGCCGGACGCGGCACCGATCTGCCTTAGATGTGTGGAGGTAACTTTAGCTACATTTTAGACTAAAAATGTCCCTAGTATGCTTCTCCTGTAAGGGACCAAAAGTCAATAGAACCGCCAGCTTTTATGTTCTCACCTTTTACACCCCTTTTAGCTGTGTTTTAAAGAACTTTGATAAACTTTACTCCCCTTTGTTAAACGAGATTAGGGAAGCAATGTTTTCTTTTCTTCCTGTAGTTGGCTTGAGTGCACCCACTGCAGAGGGAAATGCCTGCTGGGGACCTAAGGACTTTGATACCTCGCTTTTTCTTTTTCTCAAAACCCTGTCCTCATTATTAAATTGGCATTAATTGGCTTCAAGAACAAGAACCGAATTTTCAGTTACAAATTTTGACACCCCAGGGAGGAGCCTCCCCTCTGCTTTCTTGGGGAACCTAGCACTCTGAACAACTGCATGCCGAGGATGTAAGATGAACTTTTGGGGAGCCGACTACTGAAAAGTTAGGAGATAGGGAGAGTGCCTGGTGCCTAGGGTGGGACCAAACCAGAGGAACTAATCCTATAAATAAAAGGAGGGACTGAGGGACTCCCAGCAGCTGCCAAAGCCATTTTGCTTTGGGGAACTTCCTCATTTCTTCCCTGCACTGTAAGGATTGCTCCATCTCTGTCTACTTAAAAAGAAGAGGACACTGAATGCAGTAAAGTCGCCACACCAAGACCCTTGATTTTACATCTATAGTTGCCCCTATGTGAAAACATCTGGTCCACTCGTGGGGAAATCTATGGTGCCACTGATGTAGGAGTCATAATTAAATGAGTTAGAAACCTGGGGAGATTTTTCTCTTATGTGGTCTGTCTGTTTTAAAGGTTATTATAGATTGATTCTTGGAGATAATCTAGGCTAAATGTGTGTCTAAAAGACGGTTTTTTATTGTAACAATCTGGTATCTGAATGGGGTTTTGAAGCATTGCATAATCTTGAAGTTAAAAGTTGGGTTTAGGTAATTTGTTTAGTTTATGATTTCAGATAATTCATGCCGAAGAACTTAAACACTTAGGATAGAAAATTAAAGAACTCTACTTCCAAGTTGGCAAGTAACTCCTAATCATTTATTTTTTCATCAATTTTTGAACTGGGTAGCCTGGGAAGATTTCACTAGGTCTACCAGTGCATTAGTTTGGGCAAGGATAGTAAATTATGATATATCTGTTCCCCTCGGTGTTTAGGATTTAGGAAAGGAAAGTGTTGGATTGGGACGCTGGTCTGGCTTATTGAAATGACATTGAATAGCAACAGTCTTGGAAATTTTTAAAGCTTAATTTTGGATATGCATGGTAGTGTGTGGTTCTCTTTTGAAATTTTTCAGGTGATTTAATGTAACTTAATACTACTTTAGGAACTTCAGAACAAAGGAAGTAGCTTAATGATCCTAAAGGGATTTCTTCTGATGGTAGCCTTTATATTATCAAGTAAGATCCTATTGTTACCGCTGTTGACCGGTGACAAGTTCTTGCTTCCCCAATGTTGAAGAATAACACCAAAGAAGCACGCCGAGGCAAGGTCAGAGTAGAAATTAGAAGTTTATTAAAGGACAGCAGAAAAGACTTCTCCCGGAGGAAGAAGGGGACCCAAGAGGTGGAATCCGTGGAAGGGATGTTGTCTCCCCTTTTTATAGTTCTTTCAGTGATGGAATGTAGGTGGGAAGGACTGAGGGGTGGGACACAGGTGGGCCAAAGAAGTAATCTGGTCAGGAAGGACTTCTGAGTCAGCACCTTTTTGCTGGGGGCTGTTCATTAACATTTCTTTGAGGTGGACTTTGGCCTAGGGCCTTTTCGGACTTCATTAACATTCCTTGAGTTGTCCTGCGTTTCCCGGAATCATTGCCAGCATGGCCTCCATTTTAGATTTCACTCGGTATTAGACCCTATTTACCTAACTACACTGACTACCTAACTTTAAATCTGGCTTCACTATTTTCAGTTTTGTGTGAGCAAGTTTTTCTAGTGTAGGAAGATGTAAAGGTATGAAATTTTGTGAATTGTATCTTAAACTTGTATCGTAATTTTCAACATCCAAACCTGAAAATTGTGACTTATGGTTAAAATGCATTAGGCATGAGGCTTCTCCTCAGATTCCCAGTTTTTCTTGCTCCTTCCAGACCTCAGGCAGGATTTAAGTTGAAATGCAAATAGAAGAAGCCTGCAAGCTCAGTAGGAGACTGAGCTGAGGCCCAAGGGAAAAAAAAAGTAAAGGTGTCTTTTACCTGAACTCAAACTAGATTAAAACAAAAAGTAAATTGTGTGGTATTTACTAATAACT